TTTTTTACGAAGCCACTCCTTCGTTGCCCGGGCGGTGTGTTTGGGATCAGTCGTCCTGGTCCCTTTGCAGAAAAACAGCCCCAAAGCCTGATGTTTCCACCCCCATGCTTCACAGTAGGTATGGTGTTCTTTGGATGCAACTCAGCATTCTTTGTCCTCCAAACACGACGAGTTGAGTTTTTACCAAAAAGTTATATCTTGGTTTCATCTGACCATATGACATTCTCCCAATCCTCTTCTGGATCATCCAAATGCACTCTAGCAAACTTCAGACGGGCCTGGACATGTACTGGCTTAAGCAGGGGGACACGTCTGGCACTGCAGGATTTGAGTCCCTGGTGGCGTAGTGTGTTACTTTGGTTCCAGCTCTCTGCAGGTCATTCACTAGGTCCCCCCGTGTGGTTCTGGGATTTTTGCTCACCGTTCTTGTGATCATTTTGACCCCACGGGGTGAGATCTTGCATGGAGCCCCAGATCAAGGGAGATTATCAGTGGTCTTGTATGTCTTCCATTTCCTAATAATTGCTTCCACAATTGATGTCTTCAAACCAAGCTGCTTACCTATTGCAGATTCAGTCTTCCCAGCCTGGTGCAGGTCTACAATTTTGTTTCTGGTGTCCTTTGACAGCTCTTTGGTCTTGGCCATAGTGGAGTTGGAGTGTGACTGTTTGAGGTTGTGGACAGGTGTCTTTTATACTGATAACAAGTTCAAACAGGTGCCATTAATACAGGTAACGAGTGGAGGACAGAGGAGCCTCTTAAAGAAGAAGTTACAGGTCTGTGAGAGCCAGAAATCTTGCTTGTTTGTAGGTGACCAAATACTTATTTTCCACCATAATTTGCAAATAAATTCATAAAAAATCCTACAATGTGAATTTCTGGATTTTTTTTCTCTCAATTTGTCTGTCATAGTTGACGTGTACCTATGATGAAAATTACAGGCCTCTCTCATCTTTTTAAGTGGGAGAACTTGCAAAATTGGTGGCTGACTAAATACTTTTTTTCCCCACTGTAGGTGTCTGGTTAGACCGTTAACTCTCCTTCCAGACTCACATTAAGCATCTCCAATCCAAAGTTAAATCTAGAATTGGCTTCCTATTTCGCAACAAAGCCTCCTTCACTCATGCTGCTAAACATGCCCTCGTAAAACTGACTATCCTACCGATCCTTGACTTTGGCGATGTCATTTACAAAATAGTTTCAACACTACTCAGCAAATTGGATGTAGTCTATCACAGTACCATCCGTTTTGTCATCAAAGCCCCATATACTACCCACCATTGTGACCTGTACGCTCTCGTTGTGTCACGCCCTGGCTCTGGGGACACTTGTATGTTGAGCCAGGGTGTGCGTTTCATTTGTTTATCTAGTAGTTGCATTTCTATGTTGGCCAGATTGGTTCCCAATCAGAGGCAACGAGTGTCAGCTGGTGCTGGTTGTCTCTGATTGGGAACCATATTTATACAGGCTGTTTTCCCACAGTTGTTGTGGGATCTTGTTTCTAGTTGGTTTGTGTTAGACCGTGAACTGTCACGTTATCGTTTTGTTTATGTTGTCGTAATATCGCTAAATAAAGAGTATGTTTGCCTGCAACGCTGCGCCTTGGTCCTCTGTTCCCGACGATCGTGACAGAAGATCCCACCAAAACTGGACCAAGCAGCGTGTCCAGGAGCCATCGCCAGGGGAATCGCTAGCAGATCTCCGTGGCAGCCTCGACTGGGTCAAGCCTAGTGAAGAGCAGAGAGGGTGGACTTGGGAACAGTGGAGGAAGAGTCTCGACTGGGTCAAGCCAAATGAAGAGCAGAATGGCTGGAGTTGGAAGCAGAAGAGCGAGAGTTGGGCGAGAACTATAGAGGCTATGCCCACGGGGAGGAGAGACCCCCAGAAATTTTTTAGGGGGGGCTCACGCCGTGGACGACGGGGCAGCAGGTGGCCGCGATGGAGCGGTCCAGCGGGTGTGCAGAGGAGGCCGCCAGGTTAAGGGGGCCACTGGTCACAGAGGAGAGGGAAAGTGTGGAGGCACGGCGAGAGGTACTGGGGTGTGTTACCAGTCCGGTCCGGCCCGTTCCTGATTCCTGCATAGGGCCAGTGGTGTGTGTCCCCAGTACGGTCCGGCCTGTTCCTGTTCCTCGCATCGAGCCTGTGGTGCGCGTCGCCAGCCTGGCCCGGCCTGTTCCTGCTCCCCGCACCGAGCCTATGGTGCGCGTCGCCAGCCCGGCCCGGCCTGTTCCTGCTCCCCGCACCGAGCCTATGGTGCGCGTCGCCAGCCCGGTCCGGCCCGCTCCTGCTCCCCACACCAAGCCAGTGGTGTGCGTCGTCAGTCCGGCACGGCCCGTGCCTGTTCCCCACACCAAGCCAGTGGTGTGCGTCGCCAGCCCGGTCCGGCCCGCTCCTGCTCCCCACACCAAGCCAGTGGTGTGCGTCGTCAGTCCGGCACGGCCCGTGCTTGTTCCCCACACCAAGCCAGTGGTGTGTGTCGCCAGCCCAGTCCGGTCCGCTCCTGCTCCCCACACCAAGCCAGTGGTGTGCGTCGTCAGTCCGGCACGGCCCGTGCCTGTTCCCCACACCAAGCCAGTGGTGTGCGTCGCCAGTCCGGTCCGGCCCGCTCCTGCTCCCCGCACCAAGCCTCTGGTACGCATCATCAGTCCGGCACGGCCCGTGCCTGTTCCACCGGTGCCTGGTCCGGCACCGGTCAGCTGCTTCACGCCGGAGCTAGAGCAATCCGCTCCACCAGTGTGCAGTCCAGCTCCGGTCAGCGGGGCCAGACCGGACCAGGGGTACTTTGGGGGGTTGGAGTGGGGATCAGGTCCGGAGCCGGATCCGCCGCCAAGGCGGAGTGCCCACCCGGTCCCTCCCCTGTGGTATTTAGTTGACGCGGTCGGAGTCCGCGCCTTTATGGGGGGGTACTGTCACGCCCTGGCTCTGGGGACACTTGTATGTTGAGCCAGGGTGTGTGTTTCATTTGTTTATCTAGTAGTTGCATTTCTATGTTGGCCAGATTGGTTCCCAATCAGAGGCAACGAGTGTCAGCTGGTGCTGGTTGTCTCTGATTGGGAACCATATTTATACAGGCTGTTTTCCCACAGTTGTTGTGGGATCTTGTTTCTAGTTGGTTTGTGTTAGACCGTGAACTGTCACGTTATCGTTTTGTTTATGTTGTCGTAATATCGCTAAATAAAGAGTATGTTTGCCTGCAACGCTGCGCCTTGGTCCTCTGTTCCCGACGATCGTGACACGTTGGCTGGCCCTCACTACATATTCGTCGCCAAACCCACTGGCTCCAGGTCATCTATAAATCACTTCTAGGCAAATCCCCGCCTTATCTTAGATCATTGGTCACCATAGCAACACCCACCCGTAGAATGCGTTCCAGCAGGTATATCTCACTGGTCATCCCCAAAGCCAACACCTCCTTTGGCCCCCATTCCTTCCAGTTCTCTGCTGCAAATGACTGGAACAAACTGCAAAAATCTCTGAAGCTGGAGACACTTATCTCCCTCACTAACTTTAAACATCAGTTGTCAGAGCAGCTTACCGATCACTGCACCTGTACACAGCCCATCTGTAATTAGCCCACCCAACTACCTCATCCCCATATTGTTATTTACATTGTTATTTATTTTGGTCATTTGCACCCCAGTATCTCTATTTGCACATCATCTTCTGCACATCTATCACTCCAGTGTTAATACGAAATTGTAATTATTTTGCACTATGCCCTATTTATTTCCTTACCTCCATAACTTACTACATTTGCACACACTGTATATAGATTTTCTATTGTGTTATTGACTGTACGTTTTGTTTTTGTTTATTGCATATGTAACTCTGTGTTGTTGTTGTTTTTATCGCACTGCTTTGTTTTATCTTGGCCAGGTCGCAGTTGTAAATGCAACTGGCTTACCTGGTTAAATAAAGGTGAAAAAATAATAATTTGATTTAATGTGCCAGTAAAATATGCATACCTACTGTAGTATCGTGTTAGAATAAGTCTGCAATTTTCTTGTCTTGGTATAGATAATTCCATATGGATTCTGTTAGTGTTTCCCCTAATGGTGGATCCTGTCTGAACCTTTTAGGGTTGTGGCTAAAGACTACAGATTGAGTCTAAAAACATTTGCTTGGTTTATCGGGTAGGTCAGAGGAACATTTTTACAAGCTTTGGGAACACCACAGGGTTAGGTTACACTGAACAGTATCGGATTGTGTAGGTATGGTAGGGCTTGTCTGAGAATATACCTGTCTGGGATGAAGATATTACCAATGTATTTATCAACGCAAAACCATCAAAACATACTTGTTTAATTTTTATTTTATTTTACACAACATAACAACACAGCAGATGTTGTTTCTCTGTACAGGGCTTTTTTGTGCCTTAAAACAAAGGCAATATCAATGTCACTGAAAAGAAAGCTTGAATTGTTCTTTAAAAAATATCAATTTAATAAGAGGTCCAGTAACAAGTCTTTGATAGTTGTTTTTTGTGTTGTCTCTATATGCAGGAAAGTATTTCCTTGTAATAGAAAGGCTTTTTGTGAAATCTCTCTCTTGTTCCTGTCGATCCCACATCCGCTGTCAGGGACAACTGAAATCCTATTGGTGCTCCTTGCAAGAGGACAACTGTTGTGCAGAGGAAGGCACCAATGCTTTTCTCTTGCCACAATGATAACAATGGGTGTATGTACTGTATAAGTGGATGGGTGTGTTGGATTTATTTTTTGCATGGGTATGAAAACACTGCATGGACTGCCGAGCACTGGGCTCCGAGCCCTGCTGGAGATTCTCCACATCAGAGGAGAACATTGATGACATTCGGATTACTACAAGGCAAGCATCCGTTTTACTGTTGGTTTTAGAAAAACTGAAACGCCAAAAAATAATAAAATAACATTCAAAAACAGATGTCCCCACTCACTCACACACACACACACACACACACACACACACACACACACACACACACACACACACACACACACACATCCATACAAACAGAACAGTCACACAGTGCTTTCTAGAATCCACTCTGAACTGGAAAAGGTGGCCTTGCCACTGTCTATATTTTCCTGTTGAAGTAGCATCCCATTCATCGACATACTCCGCTTAGACCACATATTCCCAAGTTTTGTTGCCCCAATGTAGCAGTGGTGCTTGGACGAGTCCTCGTTTAGAGAGTACCTACGTTTGGCCCTCACCCCTTCCACCGGTAAGGTCAGGTACTTGGAGGATGGTCTGGGGTGTGCGCGTCTTAATATGGGCGTGTCCGTAATGCGTGAGTAGGGTAGGGTGGAGTGGAATACCGGGGCGGGGGGCTGCTGCAGAGCGGTGGAGTTGTTGCGGTTGGTGTTCTGTGTCTCAGCGTTGGGGAGGGCCTCTATCTTGGGCTCAGGGGTGACAGAAGCAGCAGCGGAGGGCTTTGGCGCAGGCTTGCACTTTGGCTTCAGAGACCCTGAGGAGCCAGGCGTGTTCCAGCTCTGGCTCACCAGGGATGTAGCAGTGGAGCAGTCTGGGAGAGAGGTCTCAGACGAGTCCGTCAGCGTGTCCGACGCGTGCCCAGTGGCCTTTAGACACCCTCTGACCCCTCCCTCTGACCCTCCCATGGCCTGTTTGGACACAGAGGGATTGACGGTACACCCCTGAGACTGCGCCCCGTTGGTCTGTGAGTGGACGTTGGTGACCAGGGTGCCTTTGCCTGAGTCACTGGTGTTGCAGACCTTGTAGCGGATCATGAGGATGATGATGAAGACGAGGACGGAGGCAACGATGATCCCGCCGATGATGATGATCATGGTGCCTCCCAGGAACTGGGACTGCATGAAGTGACAGCGCAGGTACTCAGACTCGGTGGTGAACTGGATGCAGCCCACCACGCGGGTGGCGGTGAGGGAGGTGATACCGTCGTCGTAGATGGCCAGAACACACAGGTCGTACGACGTCCCAGCAGCCAGGTTGTTGACTAGGAAGTTTTTGCTCGTGGGGGGAATCATTCTGAGGGGAGAGAAGGACAAAGGAAAGAAATCAATGTGGATTCAAATAAAAAGTGTTATAAGGACAGTTCATGTCATTCATACATTATCTTTTATTACCAATTGCTCAAAATGTGCTTCTGCTGCTGAGAAGCATTTTCCTATATTCTTAAAACAATCCTAGTTGCTGCATTAAAAAAAATATTATCCCAAAACGACAATGCTGTGTTTCATAAATGAAAAGGAATATATTTTTAGAGAGTAATGAAACCTAAAATATTCAAAGACAACACAAACAAGTAACAACTTCAAGATGTTATAACGTGTGTGTGCAATATTCCTGTATAACATTAGACAGCATACATTGACTGGGTGAATGCTAATGTCATTCATACTCCTGAACATTGTTTGACCTCTAATGTACCAACACCATGGTACTTGCCTACGGAGCAGCAAGAGGAACTGCCTATCCCTACCTTCAGGCTATGCTCAAACCCTACACCCCAACCTGAATACTCCGTTCTGCCACCTCTGGTCTCTTGGCCCTCCCACCCCTACAGAAAGGGCAGCTCCCGCTCAGCACAGTCAAAGCTCTTCTCTGTCCTGGCACCCCAATGGTGCCCCTGAAACTAGGACAGCAGAGTCCCTGCCCATCTTCCGAAAACATCTGAAACCCTACCTCTTCAAAGAGTACACTACATGACCAAACGTATGTGGACACCTGCTCGTCGAACATCGCATTAATATGGAGTTGGTCCCCCCTTTGCTACTACATCAGCCTCCACCCTTCTGGGAAGGCTTTCTACTAGATATTGGAACATTGCTGTGGGGACTTGCTTCCATTCAGCCAAAAGAGCATTAGTGAGGTCGGGCACTGATGTTGGGCAATTAGGCCTGGCTCGCAGTCAGTGTTCCAATTCATCCCAAAGGTGTTCGATGGGGTTGAGGTCAGGGCTCTGTGCAGGCCAGTCAAGTTCTTCCACACCAATCTCAACAAACCATTTCTGTATGGACCTCTCTTTGTGCACCGGGGCATTGTCATGCTCAAACAGGAAAGGGCCTTCTCCAAACTGTTGCCACAAAGTTGGAAGCACATAATTATCTACATCTAAGGTTTCCCTTCACTGGAACTAAGGGACCTAGCCCAAACCATGAAAAACAGCCTCAGACCATTATTACTCCTCCACCAAGCTTTACAGTTGGCAATATGCATTGGGGCAGGTAGCGTTTCCCTGGCCTCCGCCAAAACCAGATTTGTCCGTCGGACTGCAAAATGGTGAAGCATGATTTATCACTCCAGACAACACATTTCCACTGATGCAGAGTCCAATGGCGGTAACCTTTACACCACTCCAGCCGAGGCTTGGCATTGCGCATGGTGATCTTAGGTTTGTGTCTTGCTGCTCAGCCAATGAAACTAATTTCATGAAGCTCCCTACGAACAGTTAATGTGCTGACGTTGCTTCCAGAGGCAGTTAGGAACTCAGTAGTGAGTGTTGCAACTGAGGACAGACGTTTTTTTCGCGCTACGCACTTCTACACTCGGTGGTCCCGTTCTGTGAGCTTGTGTGGCCTACCACTTCGCGGCTGAGCCGTTGTTGCTCCTAGACGTTTCCACTTCACAATAACAGCACTTACAGTTGACCGGGGCAGCTCTAGCAGGGCAGAAATTTGACAAACAGACTTGTTGGAAAGTTGGCATCCTATGACGGTGCCACGTTGAAACTGAGCTCTTAAGTAAGGCCATTCTACTGCCAATGTCTGTCTATGGAGATTGCATGGCTGCGTGCTTGATTTTATACCTGTCAGCAACGGGTGTGGCTGAAATAGCCAAATCCACTAATTTGAAGGGGTGTCCACATACTTTTGTATATATAGTGTATCTTAACTAAGCCCAAAGCTTAGAAACGCTAAGCTGCTAGCCATCAAGCTTACGAAGTTGGTACCAGATGAGTTTAGCAATGGAGCCCTCTTTGTCTGGAGAACTAAATGAACGGTTCCAGCGCTGTAGGAGTTGTATCTATTATGCTTTGTTTCGGGACAATCAACGATGGTCGCATGTCATGAGCCGTGGAAGCCGAAGACAGCGACCTCCCGCAAAGCAGTCTACACTCCCAACAAGAGGCCTGGAGCGGATACAAACAACTAATAGTTTCGCCGTCCTGGAGCCTGATCTTCCTGCACCTTCGTCGCTTGGGGTGCCTGTGTCTGCGGCCGCAGTGCCTACTACTACGATTTCGAAGTCGACGTCGGCAACATTCCGTCCCTGCTCTGGATCAAGCAGGGATTCTCCATCTGTCGGAGGCCTGCATCCTGTGAAGCGTGGGAGTGGGCAGATTTCCTCATCCTTCTCGCCAGCCTTGATTTTGGGCAGCTCCATGGTAAGAAATGTGACCGTTCCTGGTGCAAAAACAATGTCCTATCCCGGAGCTCGAGTAAATGACATTACTAAGCTGCTCCCGATAGTACTACGTCAGGACATGGAAATCGATTCTATCGTAGTCCATGTGGGTTTTAATGACATTATGAAGGGCAGCTCTGAACAGTTGAAACTGGATTTTAAAGAGCTGATTGACTCTCTGCTAGACACTAACAAAAAACCCATCATATCTGGCCCTGTGCCCTCTCTGAATCGTGGCATTGAACGCTTTAGCAGGATTCTTGCTCTTCACAACTGGCTGATTATTGTAGCTCAATGACTGTAACTTCTGTTGACAATTTTGATACCTTTTGGAAACAAAACACGTTTTATAAGGAGGATGGGATCCACCCAAATCATTTGGGTTCCTGGATCCTTTCACAGCATTATAAGGCTGCGTTGAGATAATAACTTAGCGATGACCCAAGCCCAGCTCAGCTAATCCCTACCATTGTGACGCAGAGTTGTCAAAATGCTTCAGCAAATATACATTACATCAGGGGTGTCGGTAGACACAATGTGGGTAACCTGGTTTGTGTCCCTCTAGCTGCCCTGGGTGCCTCTGCTGAACCTGCAGCTGTTGTGTGCAGTGATCATGTGCCTACGAGCATTTGACATATGTAGCTTAAGAAACAAGGTTAATGATATCAATAATTTGCTAGTAACAGATGACATTCATATTCTGACACTCTCTGAAACTCACTTAGATAATACCTTTGATGATACATTGGTAGCAATACAAGGTTATAATATTTACAGAAAATATAGAAATGCCAATGGTGGAGGTGTTGCTGTTTATATTCAGAACCACATTCCTGTGAAGATTAGAGAGGATTTCATGTTAAATACTGTTGAAGTAATATGGCTACAGGTTAATCTGCCTCACTTAAAGCCAATTCTGGTGGGAAGCTGCTATAGACCACCAAGTGCTAACAGTCAGTTTCTGGATAACATGTATGAAATGCTTGATAAGTATGTGATATCAATAGAGAGGTATACTTTCTGGGTGATTTAAATATTGACTGGCTTTCATCAGGCTGCCCACTCAAGAGAAAGCTTCAAACTGTAACCAGTGCCTGCAACCTGGTTCAGGTTATCAGTCAATCTACCAGGGTGGTTACAAACAGTACAGGAATTAAATCATCAACATGTATTGACCATATCTTTACTAATGCTGCAGAGATTTGTTTGAAAGCAGTATCCAAATCCATTGGATGTAGTGATCACAATATAGTAGCCATATCTAGGAAAACCAAAGTTCCAAAGGCTGGGCGTAATATTGTGTATAAGAGGTCATACAATAATTTTTGTAGTGATTCCTATGTTGTTGATGTAAATAATAAATGTTGGTCCGTGGTGTGTAATGAGGAGAAAACAGACACTGCACTAGACACATTTATGAAATTGCTTATTCCAGTTACCAATAAGCATGCACCCATTAAGAAAATGACTGTAAAAACTGTTAAATCCCTATGGATTGATGAGGAATTGAAAAATTGTATGGTTGAGAGGGATGAGGCAAAAGGAATGGCAAATAAGTGTGGCTGCACAACCGATTGGCAAACGTATTGCAAATTGAGAAATCATATGACAAAACTGAATACAAAGAAGAAAAAACAACACTATAAAACAAGGATAAATGACATAAAGAATGATAGTAAAAAGCTTTGGAGCACATTAAATGAAATTTTGGAAAAAAAGGCAAACTCAGCTCCATCATTCATTTAATCAGATGGCTCATTCATCACAAAACCAACTGATATTGCCAACTACTTTAATATATTTTTAATTGGCAAGATTAGCAAACTTAGGCATGACATGCCAGCAACAATTGCTGACACTACACATCCAAGTATATCTGACCAAATTAGGAAAGACAAGCATTGTAATTTTGAATTCTGTAAAGTGAGTGTGGAAGAGTTGAAAAAAATTATTGTTGTCTATTAACAATGACAAGCCACTGGGGTCTGACAACTTGGATGGAAAGCTGTCTAGGCCCCTTGCTTTTTCTGTCTTTACTAACGACATGCCACTGGCTTTGAGTAAAGCCAGTGTGTCTATGTATGCGGATGACTCAACACTATACACGTCAGCTACTACAGCAACTGAAATAACTGCAAAACTTAACAAAGAGTTGCAGTTAGTTTCGGAATGGGTGGCAAGGAATAAGTTATTCCTGAATATTTCCAAAACTAAAATAATTGTATTTGGGTCAAATCATTCACTAAACCCTAAACCTCAACTACATCTCATAATGAATAATGTGGAAATTTAGCAAGTTGAGGAGACTAAACTGCTTGGAGTAACCTTGGATTGTAGACTGTCATGGTCAAAGCATATTGATACAACAGTAGCTAAGATGGGGAGAAGTATGTCCATAATTAAGCGCTGCTCTGCCTTCTTAACAACACTATCAACAAGGCAGGTCCTACAGGCCCTAGTTTTGTCGCACCTAGACTACTGTTCAGTCGTGTGGTCAGATGCCACAAAGAGGGACTTGGGAAAATTGCAGTTGGCTCAGAACAGGGCAGCACGGCTGGCCCTTAAAAGTACACGGAGAGCTCACATTAATGACATGCATGTCAGTCTCTCCTGGCTCAGAGTGGAAGAGAGATTGACTTCATCACTGCTTGTTTTTGTAAGAGGTGTTGACAAGCTGAATGTACCGAGCTGTCTGTTTAAACTACTATCACACAGCTTGGAAACCCATGCATACCCCACAAGACATGCCTCCAGAGGTCTCTTCACAGTCCCCAAGTCCAGAACAGACTATGGGAGGTGCACAGTACTACATAGAGCCATGACTACATGGAACTCTATTCCACATCAGGTAACTGATGCAAGCAGTAGTGGTGTAATAATGTCATATGATGGACTGTTTTATATTTTGTTTTATATGTAATGTAAGTGCTTTAATGTGTTTGGACCCCAGGAAGAGCTAATGCGGTTCCCTAATAAATACAAATATAAATACAGAATACCAGTAACTACTGTATCCTTTTTCTTTGTTGATTATTATTTTGCGACACTCAAACCCATATGGGACTGATTGCATTGCCAAAGCAATTAAATTAATTGAATCATATCATGCAGAAAACTTAGACCATAGCAGACACATGATGTGGCTCTCTACCAGTGTACAGTACTATATACTTATTATACAAAACGTTAACACCTGCTCCTTCCATGACATAGACTAACCAGGTGAAAGCTATCATCCCTTATTGATGTCACTTGTTAAATCCACTTCAATCAGTGTAGATGAAGGGGAGGAGACAGGTTAAAGAAGGATTTTCAAGCCTTTAGACAATTGAGACATGTATTGTGTATGTGTGCCATTCAGAGGGTGAATGGGCGAGACAAAATATTTAAGTGCCTTTGAACGGGGTATGGTAGTAGGTGCCAGGCGCACCGGTTTGTGTCAAGAACTGCAACGCTGCTGGGTTTTTCATGTTCAACAGTTTTCTGTGTGTATCAAGAATGGTCCACCAGCCAAAGGACATCCAGACAACTTGACAAAACTGTGGGAAGCATTGGAGTCAACATGGGCCAGCATCCCTGTTGAATGCTTTCGACACCTTGTAGAGCCCATGCCCCAACGAATTGAGTCTGTTCTGAGGGCAAAAGGGGAAGGGGGGTTGACACTCAATATTAGGAAGGTGTTCTTAATGTTTGGTATACTCAGTGTACATTGTCAAGAAAATGACTGCGTAAAACTCTTAAAATGTAAAAGATAAAAACAACAGCGCCCAAAAAGTAAACAACACTTCTACTGATTTATTTACCATTAACATTTACTGAGCCTGAGGGTCTCAAACCAAGATAACTTCATGCAGGGTGACTTCACGTTCAGGTTGACCTCCCTGACATCCACCAACAGGCATATGGCAAAGTGCCTTACTAATAGTTTTGAAGGCCATGGCACAGTGGAAAATAGCACAGCACAGCTCCATCCAGCCATGTCATCGAAATCTAATGGAATATTTGTATTATTTTAGTTTGAAACCATTTACAATCACGTGAGAGACAGATGACATAAAATGTCAACAATATTGTTGTTAGCCTGAGTGTGTTTATTGGACATACAGTACAATGGAAATTGGGACCATATCATTTGAATAAAGCGGTTTATTTTATACCTTAAGCAGATCTGAGCCAGGTATTACCTGTGCCCTAGTTGGAGTGCTTTAAAAGAGGTTCATTCTCCTGATTTGTGTGCACATAAAACTTGTCGCACAATTTGTTTGATGCCCAGATTTTTTAATTAATGAATAATGTTGAAAGGGAAATGTGTGGGGGTGAAATAACAATGGAAAACACTACAGTAAAACCGAAAAGGCCTGTGATTGTAGGAGATATTGACAGGAGATATGCTATTCAAAAGGTCAAGGTACTCCAGAGACCTATGGTGATCCTCAATATCAACACAAACACTGTTCTTATAGGAGGGAATATTGAGGCTTTTTTAGACGTGTGAAGCTTTTAAAACACAATGTTTTATTAGCGTGCCAGCAGCATACCACCCTGCATTCCACTGCTGGCTTACCTCTGAAGCTAAGCAGGGTTGATCCTGGTTGGTCCCTGGATGGGAGACCAGATGCTGCTAAAAGTTGTGTTGGAGGGCCAGTAGGAGGCACTCTTTCCTCTGGTCTAAAAAAATATCCCATTGCCACAGGGCAGTGATTGGGAACTCTGTGTAGGGTGCTGTATTTCCTGACGCTCTGTGGTCACTAAAGTTCCCATGCCACTTATTTTAAGAGTAGGGGTGTTAACCCCAGTGGCCTGGCTAAATTCCCAATCTGGCCCTCATACCATCATGGCCACCTAATCATCCCCTGCTTCCAATTGGCACATTCATTCCCTCACCCCTGTAACTATTCCCCAGGTCATTGCTGTAAATGAGAATGTGTTCTCAGTCAACCTATGTGGTAAAATAAATTGTAATACTGTTCTGATTAATCAATGGATAAGCTAATGTTAGAAACCCTTTCAAAACAAGCCTGGTGTTCCCTGCTCTCTGAGGATAGATGCTGTTGACAGCCATTACACACATTACATGTTCCTCTGATGAAGTATTGATTTCCATTCATGCATCTACAGGCAATGAAAGCAAAGGGATTGATCCTTCCCTATTAGATCAACACAAAAAAGTGACAGATGTACAGTATTTGTTAATGAACCAAATACCGTTTGCTCCTGCCCATTGGAGTTCCAGCTAATTGTTTGTTATTGAGACCGAATCAATTTATATGCCCATTACAGTGCCAGTTAATTGTAGTTCAGACTGAATTAGTTTGTGTGGATCTGACTAAAATGGGCCATTTCACTGACGACCTCGTCGAAATCCAATAACCTCCTATTCACATCACAGAGAATACACGGCGGTTATGTTCTGCTGCTTCACAATGCAGAGTTCAGCTCATCTTAATCTATATGAGATCATGACTGTCTTTCTTTGATCCCTCTGTCACACGGCCCGCCTGCTGAGTCCATTTGGGGTTTTTGCTTTGCGGGGGTTTTACTAATGAGTTTTCAAGGATTACAGATGATCTAAAAAACAAATGTAATAACATTGGGATTTTAGATAAATTATCCTTTTGTTTTTGTAAATAATGTTGTACAAATAGAATCGCTTCACAATTTAGAATCAGCTACTAGCTAAACAGCTTTCAAATCTCATTTTGTGGCTACTGTAATTGCTTTGCAATTGAAACTTGATTTGGTTGTTTAGTTTATTGCCTTTGCTTAGTTAGGGTGGTCACCATCATTGATTTTACAAACAAGTGGTTGAAAGCCTATAAAACATAATTTAGGGTTTGCATAGTGTGTGAACGTGATTGAGATTAATCTCCATCAAAAATGATCCATAGATGAATCTCCATACAAAACATAAAATAAAAAAAAACCTGCAAAACATCTCTGAACCTAAACTATAAGTGCACTTGATGATTGAAATTAAATCCATTAGGGCCATTATGCATTTCACCACACATTTCATACACAAATCATACACAAATAATTAGAGGGGATTGAATGGAACCTACCTGTAAACAAGAGAGTCATCATAACTGCCATTGTACTGAATCTGGAACATGCGGATCCCAGGTATATTCCTCTGGAAGTTGAACTTAATGAGCGCAGTGGAGGATGTGGCCTCAGCGATGACCACCCTCTTATCTGGGCTGGTTTTGGTGTCCCCAGTGTGGTTGCTGCCATTGGCCCCAGCCCTGGTTGACGTGGAGATGTCAGAGGAGCCAGGGTCAGGCTCCTGGATGTTGTTGGTGCTGTTGGAGATGTGTGGGAGTTTGATAATCAGCAGCTCCACAGTCTGATGTGCCTCACCCGCCGGGTTGGACGAGATGCAGGTGAAGGATCCTGTGTCCTTCACAGTGCTGATCAGAATGTCCAGGGTGCCATTGGTGTAGACCAACGTCCGGGAGGAGTTCGACACCAGCTTCCCCTCTGGGGAGATCCAGTGTATGGCAGGCTCAGGGTCCCCCCTGGCCTTGCACCTCAGGGCCACCCTCTGGCCCTCCAGCACCCGCATCTCGTGGGAGTACCGGGTGATGAGAGGAGGTTCACACAGGAACTCCTCCTCCGGGATGGACCAGAAATAGCGTCCAGAGAGGTGCTGCGGCGATGCGCATGTCTCCAGATCATCCTCTCGGCTCAGGCGCCTCAACCACAGCAGCTCACAGTTGCAGTGCAGTGGGTTCCCGCCGAAGCTCAGTGCGAATGAGGAAGGGTTCATGATCCCAGACGTGGCCAAAACCTGGGCCCGCTGGAACAGAGGATCTGGAGGAAGCTTCTGTAGCTTATTTGAGGTTACGTCCAAGCGGTTTAGCTTTTGGAGAAGAGAAAAGGTCTCCTCAGGAATGTAGTCGATCATGTTGTGGTCCAGGCTGAGGGTGTGGAGGCTCGTCATCCTCTGGATAGCCTCCCAGGGGATGGACTCCAAGTTGTTGTAGGACAGGTCCAGCTCCTCCAGAGCCAGCAGGTCATTGAAAGCCCCCAGGTGGATCAACGTCAGCTGGTTGTTGTTGAGGATCAGGTGGTGCAGCTTGGACATGCCGCTAAAGGTGTCGTTGGCTATACGGGTCAGACGGTTGCTGTTCACGTGCAAGGCACGGAGGTTCTCCAGGTCAGCGAACGCGTGTGGCGTGATGAAGCTAATGGTATTCCTTGACAGGGTGAGGTCCTGCAACCTGGTCATGTTGGCAAAGTCTTTCCTCTTGATGCTGGTGACGAAGTTGTCTGCCAGCCGTAGCTCCACGGTGTGCCTGTCAATGTTCGGGGGGACGAAGAGGAGCCCTTTTTTGGCACAGAGGGTTGCAAGGTTGGGAGATAGTATTTGACAGACACAACGCTTCGGACAGATCTGGGCCTTCACTGCCATTCCAATAACCAACAGACAGACAAGCAGTTTTTCCATTGTAAGTCAGGTTCAAACACCTGCAACATAAGACAGAGAGAGGGAGAGAAAAAGAGAGAATTACTCATTTGAACTGGATCATGACATTCACCACAAGAAATGACACCAGCAGTGACATTAACATCTTGAGTGAAGGTGATTTGAGTTAAATTCCACCCCAGTCTTGAACATTTATCAGTTTCCAGTATAATGGGGCCATTTAGTAAGAAATACCCAGGAATCAAAACTGGTTGAAATGACGTCAGTACAACTAGAAACTGGTTACAATTAAGTCAATATGTTGTCATTTCATATCCCTCGGTGTGTCCTCTGTGACTTCTAGGAAGATTTCACCATCATTGTAAAGCCCTAGTTATTTTGATGCTTTGACAAAGTCATTTCAGAAGATTATTATTTATTGCATGTTATTAGTAATTAATTTTAAGGAGAAAAAAAAGCTGTTCCTCATTTTAAGGTCAACCCTTTTATGTGATCTGAACTCTCATTTTAATATGGTGAAACCATTCCTTTAAGATTTTTTTTTTTTTTTACAAAAGAAACATTGAACATCTAATTGGCAAATCATAGTGTAAAAGCTGGTTTTTCTCTTTTTGTCAATTTTCTGGTGTTTTGTGGTGGAAAACTGAGCGGGTCGAGCATAACACGTCAAGCCTGTTACCCATAGCTAGACAGACTATAAATGTTAAAAATAAAAATAAATGTAAAAAAGTGCATTCAATTGCCCTTCCCTGTTCTACACAACAAGCTTCCATTCCCCCTGTCACAAGGTGATTTATTGATGGTTTAAGATGAGGTTGTCAACCCTGTTACTGTCAACCCTGTTACTTTATTTGGCACTTAACAGACACTACTAGTCATTTTTATTTATTTAACCTTTTGAGATGGTAAAACATGTTGTTTATTAACTTGAACATGTGGTCTTTATGACAGAATGTTAAAATTAGATGAAATAAAACTTTTCTTTACCACGTTACACTACTCAAAAGGCACCTAATTGGTGGAACGAACCAGAATGCATAACCACAAATTCTAAATTCTAACAGAAATAATAAATGTGTGTTTACATGCATCACTAGCCTTACCATACTTCAGAACAGAGCTTTTTACTTTTAAACACATCCCTTGCTGCTCTCCTCTCCTCCATACCCAGAATGATTCATGCTATCCCTGTGTTGGGTCACTCACTCAGCATTACAAGTGTGTGGGGGTGCAGAACAGAGGAGCTGTTTCACAATGCTTCAGCCTGAACTGCGGACTGCATCGGACATATCTGACACGTGGGAAGATATCACTGCTGTAATTATACTGAGGAAAGTATGTAATGAGAAGATAAGTGTCTCGCTACTCACTCAGCCTGCCTGCCTGGCTTCAAACGAAGGATGATGGGCAAATTAAATAAAATCAATGTAATGAGGTTGAAAAAACCTGACAGGAGAATTTGATTTTGTGCCGTAGAGTGAATGTGATCATGTCGACATAACGGTCTATCATCATAGCCAGCCAGAGCATACATGATACTTAAACTTGCCAAAACCACAGGCCTGCCTAACATATACAGGTACTATATGATTACTTCCCGTTTGATGGAAAAGGCCTCATTTAGCCTATAGTATGATCTGGCATGACATGTAATTTCGATTAAGTAGAATAGGTACTCGTCACATGACACGTTACTAATAACATGACAGGGGCCCTTGAAAGGTAGGAATAGAGTCAATATCTGTGTCCCAAATGGCACCCTATTCCCTGTATATTGCACTACTTTAAACCAGGGTCCATAGGGCTCTGGTTAAAAGTAGTGCACTGCATAGGGAATACGGTGCCATTTGGGATACAATGAATCACATGACATGCAGCTGTGTGATTTTCTAATTACGGGGAGTCTTGTCTCCAGAGCACACCGGAAGGTCATACCACCACAGGGTAATGAAAGCAACACTGCTGCCCACTGACAAAGCATACAGCAGGATCAAATCAAATCAAATCAAATTTTATTGGTCACATGCGCCGAATACAACAGGTGCAGACATTACAGTGAAATGCTTACTTACAGCCCTTAACCAACAGTGCATTTATTTTAAACAAAAAAGTAAGAATAATACAACAACAAAAAAGTGTTGAGAAAAAAAGAGCAGAAGTAAAAAATAAAGTGACAGTAGGGAGGCTATATATACAATAGAATAAAGTGACAGTAGGGAGGCTATATATACAGGGGGGTACCGTTGCATAGTCAATGTGCGGGGGCACCGGCTAGTTGAGGTAGTTGAGGTAATATGTACATGTGGGTAGAGTTAAAGTGACTATGCATAAATACTTAACAGAGTAGCAGCAGCGTAAAAAGGATGGGGTGGGGGGGCAGTGCAAATAGTCCGGGTAGCCATGATTAGCTGTTCAGGAGTCTTATGGCTTGGGGGTAGAAGCTGTTGAGAAGTCTTTTGGACCTAGACTTGGCACTCCGGTACCGCTTGCCGTGCGGTAGCAGAGAGAACAGTCTATGACTAGGGTGACTGGAGTCTTTGACAATTTTGAGGGCCTTCCTCTGACACCGCCTGGTATAGAGGTCCTGGATGGCAGGGAGCTTTGCCCCAGTGATGTACTGGGCCGTACGCACTACCCTCTGTAGTGCCTTGCGGTCAGAGGCCGAGCAGTTGCCATACCAGGCGGTGATGCAACCAGTCAGGATGCTCTCGATGGTGCAGCTGTAGAATTTTTTGAGGATCTGAGGACCCATGCCAAATCTTTTTAGAAAGCAACACTGCTGCCCACTGACAAAGCATACAGCAGGATCATGTTGATTACCACACTGTCATTTTTTACCATTGATTTTCCATTCCAGGCTATACATACTGCTGTTTGTGTGTGCGTGGGTGACCAGAAAGAACGAGGATGGAGGGAGAGTAGAGGAGAGAAATATGATATTTTAATGGATTTATGTGCATTGGATTGCAAACAAAGAATGTCCCACCCATGCAAATATACTCATGCATGTAAATTAATAGCTATTTTTACTGAGGCTAAAACCTCAATGCAATCTCTCAGTGACAGCTACGAGTGATGTTTTTTACACATAGACAGAGAACCTTCAAAAAGCACTTTTTGATGATTCCCCAATTCCCTATTTAGTGCATTGCTTTTGACCAGGACCCATAGAGTTCCATATAGGTAATATAGTTCCATACAATACTACTACCTCTTCTATTACTTCCATTACTTGTTGTTTTTGACTTGACTTTTTTATTGTTATTATTGACGTTGATTACGTTAATGTACTGCATTGTTGAGGGAGCTAGCACATAAGCATTTCGCTGCACCTTTTATACCTGCTGTAAACTGTGTATGTGACGAATAACATTTGATTCGATTTGATTTGATTTAGGACACAGCCTTTTATCTGTGCCACAGATCTCAGGAAGTGACTACTTTTCTGAAACTATTGGATTGACTGCCTTCAACTGATGGCAGGGCTGTATCTGGAATGGCATGTTGAAGATAGAAATAGAATGAATAGAGCACACAATCTCCTATGCTATTCCAATCTATCTGACAGTCATATTTAGTCTACAAATTCTCCTGAATGTCCATTGCTCCAGGTGGACATAATCAAGTCAAACCAATTAACCAATTATATTTTGTACAGATACTGTAAGTATAAATAAGTTGTGACGCTCAACTACCGTATGACTCTTTCAACATGCACTGAAAAGGTAAAAAGCTGCAATTAATTGTATTATACCTGAAAATACTGCAGAGGAAGGCATCTGAGGGTAAGTGCTCTTGTTTCAAACACATGCTATATCATCTTTAAAGGGATAGTTTACTCAGAATACAAACTAACATGATTTTCCACCTACCTTGGCTGTAGTTGAATCAATAAGGCAGTTTTGGGATATTTGGTTTGCTTTCGACACTTAATAGCCATGTTTTGTTACTCTTTGTTACATTCTCAGTAACACTTAACATTCAACTGTTATTATGCCTGTGTAATACAACTGTGATTACTTTTGGAGATACATTTTATTAGCATGTTGTTACCATAATACTTTGGTAATTGCATTTTAATTGCAGAGCAATAAGCTAAGAGTTTGTATAACTACTGTACACAAGAGGAATAGTGACTGCTCCTTTTTCCACTTATGTATTAACTCCATTATTATGTAATTAAATAAAGCAATTTCCAAATGTAACAACAATGTTGCTATTGTAATAATCACAAAGTTACTATACATGTATAAGAACTTGATGTCAAGTGTTACTATATTACCTTATGTCTCATTCTTTATGAAAATATATTTGCTAGTCATTTTGAAGCTGCAAAAGTGATATACTCTAATGTTGAGGTGATTCCATGTCCCTCGTGTATTTTATTATAGGCTATAGGCTATAAGATTAATATCTAAGAGCCCTCCAAACCAGGTGCTTATCGTCATATATTTAGAGCAATTCAACTAAGTGTTGTAGTTTTTGGTTCTTCATCAAATATTTGGCCGCCATCAAATATATATGTTTTTTTCTTTTCAAATAACTTACATAAAATGTATATTCAAATACCTTCAAATATTATTTGTTTTTCTGAGACCTGTATTTGAATATCAAAGAAAATAGTTGTCTTTTAGTTTAATCTCAATATAAACTATGTTCGACTATCTCGATTATTTGAAAAGTTGGTATTTTCAAATAAACTACAAAATACAACTATTTCCTGCCCAGGTCTGCTGAGGAGACAGACTGGGTGGCATATAGCCAGTTATGCAGCCAGGAATGATTGTTAGTATAGCAGTGAGGTAGTTGAGCTGAGCACACTCTATTACGCCCTGATCAACGTTGAGGTGTAGAGAAGTATGCTAAGATCATCTTTGGATGCACATAGACAGTATTGGAGCATTTTCATGATGTACACTTGATATTGATATTACAGACAGTTAGACATATATATATATATATATATATATATATATATATATATA